CCTCCGACAGGTCGTCTCGGCGCGGAGGATGTTTCAGGCGGCAGCCTCCACCGGCACCCTCGACTCCGGCGCCGCGACCCTCGCCTCGCTCCACCAGTTCGCCGTCTGCGGGCTGCAGCGCTTTGGCGCCCGCACCGCGCCCGCCGAGGGGGGGAGAGGTAGCGGGGGGGGGTGCCTGTCTTGACCCGCCTCGCTGCGAGCAGGCGGCCGCGTGGTGCAGAGCGACGCCGTCTTCACGTCGTCCGCGCTCGACGGCGCGGTTGGGCGGGGCGGGGTCAGTCTGCGCGGCCGGGCGCGATAACCTGTGCACGTGGACCATCCTATAGGCAAGATCGTCGGCTGGTCGGCGCGCGAGATCGCGGCGGCGGCGCAGTAGGGAGGAGGGCTGCCAAGTAGGCTGGCGTTTTGTTTTCCACTCGTTGCGAATTCTTGGAGCACTTGAATCCTTGGAGCCTTTGGAGTGCAGTTGGTAGTACTTGGAGCACTTGGAGTGCAGTCGGCAACCTCACATCCAGGGCCGGTGAGCTGAGAAGCGCATCCAGCGGGCCGGATGATCGGTATCGGGTTACGGGCTAGAGAGCCCTAGCCCCGTGTTACGCGTTTTCTTCTTTTACGCCGGAACAGAAACATGCTGGTGTTCTGCGCCGCCTTTGGACTCTCGGCCACCGCAGAGCTCTCGCCCGCGCTGCCGCCGCCGTCGCTGCCGCCGCCGTCTGCACCCTACTATGAGGTTGACAGCAAGGAGCAGCTTTTGGGTGTCTTCAGCGAAAGCCGCATGGAAGCGAGCGTCGACGTCGTTGTCGCATCTGGCACAATCATTGAGTTGGAGACGCGGCTCGAATGCGATGAGAACATCACCGTGATCATCCGTGGCAGCGGCGAGGGCGCGACTTTCGACGGCAAGGACAAGATCGGGCTCTTCAAAGTGTCTGGCGGTTGCAGCCTTACGCTCGAGCGACTCAACCTCGTCAACGGGAAAACAAACGCAGATGGCGGCGCTGTTTATGTAAAGAACGGCATTCTAACTTTGATGGACTCGACTGTCACTAATTGCAAGGGCGACTGGGGCGGAGCCTTGTACGTCGACAATTTCAATCGCTACAAGGTACGGGTGAAGGGCTCAACGTTTACCAGCTGCTCTGCTGAAAACGTGCGCCGCCACTTAGATACCATGCCCATTAGCACAGAAGTGACATCCGCCCCCACGCCCAACGCAGGGCGGCGCCATATACGTGTGGGACGGCGTGGTGAGCCTGATCAACTCCGAATTCTCGGACTGCCACGCAACGGAAGGTGGCGCAGTGTGGGTGGGTGGCGGCGAGGTGAGCCTGCTCGGCTCCAAGATCAGCAGCTGCTCAGCTGCCGAGGTTCGCAAGGGATAGAGATAGAGTCTAGTAGCGCGGGAGGAGTGACCCGCCTCTTCGCTTAACGCAGGGCGGCGCCATAAGCATGTCGAGCGGCAACGCAAGAGTGGAGGGCTCCACGTTTACCAGCTGCGCTGCTGACCAGGTGCGCCATGTAGAGAGAACCAGACCAGTAACGCAAAAGAGACATCTGCCCTCCCACTTAACGCAGGGTGGCGCCTTGAACGTGGGGGGCGGCAACGCAAGAGTGGAGGACTCCACTTTTACCAGCTGCGCTGCTGACAAGGTGCGCCATGTAGAGAGAATCAGACCAGTAACGCAAAAGAGACATCCGCCCTCCCACTTAACGCAGGGTGGCGCCTTGAACGTGTGGGGCGGCCAGGCAAGAATGGAGGGCTCCACTTTTACCAGCTGCTCTGCTGAATACGTGCGCCGCCACTTAGATACCATGCCCATTAGCACAGAAGTGACATCCGCCCCCACGCCTACGCAGGGCGGCGCAGTGTACGTGGAAAGGGGCGAGGTGAACCTGATCAACTCCGAGATCTCCAACTGCATCGCCACAGAGTACGGCGGCGGCCTCTACTCGGCGGGCGGGCGCACCAGATTGAGCAAGGGCACCCTGATCAGCACCTGCTCCGCACCGGAGGGTCAGGGGAGCTCCATCTTCCTTCTCGGGGGTGGAGTCTCCTACACCCTCGCCGCCCCCGCCGGCCACTGGCTGCCAAACGCGCTCTGCGAGGTGTACCGGGAGGCGTGCCCGACGCGATTTGGCAAGCCGATCGATGACTGCCCTAATCACCGCGACAACTGCGCGCTCACCAATGAGACAGATCCCTCACCGGATGAGAAGGAGGAGGCTTGCGGCCGGCACAGCAGCCCAGAGAAGCAGGCGACTTGCAACATGACGGTCGACGAGCCGTGGTTGTGCCAGATCGCAACCTTCGTGCAGCCGTGCAACTGGCAGGACGACCCCTCCATCCTCGGCGAGAACCTCTACCAGCTGCCGCTGGAGCCTGTGGAGCTCGACTTCCCCTACCGCTGCGCCGCCGGCCTCAACGCCTCGCTCGACCCCGGAGACCAGTCCAGCAGTCGCTGCGCCGGTCCCTGTCCTCCTGGCACCTGGTCGGCTATCGGCAGTGGCTCGTGCACGGACTGCGAGCCCGGCTTCTACGCCCAGCAAGAGCGCCAGGCTGAGTGCCGCCGCTGCCCACATCCACTCTTTAGCGGTCCCGGCAGCGTCTTCTGCTCAATGTGCATGGAGGGGTACTACCTGAGCAACTTTAGCGCCGACCCGTATGACATGATCGAGTTCTGCCGTCCTTGCCCAGGAGACGCCAACTGCAGCTCGCCAAGCGCCACCCTCGAGACACTCCCCCTCAAAGCCGGGTTCTGGCGCGCCAGCAAAAGCAGCGACGTGTTGTATGAGTGCCGTCGCTTTGGTGGCGATGGCGATGCGGGCGAGAAGCGGTGCGCCGGCGGCTCCGAGTTCGGAATCGACGGCTCGGGCTACTGCGCTCCAGGCTTCAAGGGCCCGGAGTGCCAGCTCTGCGAGGAGGAGGACCACTACCTCACCAACGGCGACACGTGCAGCCAGTGTGCCGCAGTAGGGGAGCTGGTGGGCAACATCGTCGGCCTCTTCGTCGGCCTCTTTGTCTCGTGCGCCATCGCGGCGTGGGTCTACTCACACGACAAGCTTGCGACGCAAGCCATGCATCGGCCCTTTTCTCCGCTTCGCCGACCGCGCTGTCGCCGCATTCGCCACGTTCGGCCTCACGCCCAAGCTCAAGA